AAAAAAAAACTTGTTGCCTTCTGGAAGTTTCACTTTTGTTTTTATAGGATGTTGGTTCCAATGCTAATTATGATGAATTTATTGGAAGATAAAAAACTTCATATACTTGCATTATATTTTGGAATTGAAGAGCCACCAAATTCGTTCATATTTCCAACATGAGCATTTAAAGCAAATCTCTCCAATGCCTAATTACATTGCTCAATTAAGCCATATAATTCTTAAAAGAAAAAATTATTTAAAATATTAAAATATATTTTAGGCTGCTATGTCCCACCTAATTGCATTCCTATATTTCTTTATTTTAAAAAAATAGTTCTGCTAAATAATGGTCCGCTTTAATTAGTTAATATTTTTAATTGAGTCATCTAATTACTTTTCCAATGCAGTTATTTGCAAAGTTTGAGGGGATATTATGATAAAAATGAATGGATAGATTGCTTGAGTTTGTCTTTTCAAATACTGTTAGTTGTAAAACTAAACAAAGCAACTCTTGATTTTCAATAATTGTAATAATAATAATCAATCATAATACGCTTTACAAACCATTTTTTGATGATTATGATTATGCATGATTACTTTTTGTATATGGAACCTTATTAAGATGACAATCCATTGGTAGCTTGTCGTTTTCCATTGCAGTAATTTAATTAATATAAATATCCATTTAACAATGTCTGTTCATTTGTATATAAAAATTTTAATGCACAATCTTATGGGGAAAAAAATTAAAGACACTCCAAAAATTTAATGACATGGTGGCTCCTTGTTTCCTATAACATAACGCATAATTTTTTTTTTGAATTTTTTCGCTTGTATGTGTTTTAATATAAACTCATTTTATTAAATTTTATTTATTTTTTGAAATTAAAACAAAGGAATTAATATTTGAATGGCTCCTCATTTCTGTTGAGTTAAATTTGGAGGATTTCAATGATGAATAAACTAATACATGTAACAACTATAATAATTATTGGTTCTAGGAATATTAAAAGACATGTAGCTTATTGTAAAAAAGTAAAACATAAAGTAAAAAACATAATGAAATGCTGACTCCTCGTTCCCTACACATAATGCATAATGACAATTTTACAATTTCATTTCATGACAAACATGTGAGAACAACATTCTAGCAACAAAAGTATAGAATTAGAGCAACATTCTAGCTTATTCTATCTTGTCTTCTTCTAAATCACCATTTGAAACTATGATGCTGGGTTGCACTGGTCCAACATCTGACACACTTCGAACATCCTTTGAAGAAATAGATGATGATTTTATGAGGTCGAAGTAGTATCATCCATATCAAACTCATAACTTCCACCATCTCGGTAAACATGTCAAGAACAAAATAAATTAAAGAACAACAACAGCAGTGAGAAATAAATTATGTATGGACAGAAAGAATAGAAGGAAAAACTTATCTTGTTCTTGCAGACATTAAAGATAGAAAACATAAGGACTTTAACATAAAAGATAAATTTTTACCGTGTTGAATTTTGAGATAGGGCCTAAAGAGCACAGACAAGGAAGGCTAAACATAAATATTTAGTCATTTAAAAGTAAAGACATTTTATTAAATCATCTCGTTCATGATATTGGGTTATGAAAAAAATACTTGTAAAAGAAAAAAAGATAGAGAATAATGCCTTACTTTCCTCTGAGGAAGTAAAGAAGTACATTCTAGTGATTTCAAATCATCCCGTCAGCTTTACTCTACAATAGAGCTACAAAAAAAAAACAATAAATATTACATGTTCATCTCATAGAAGAACAACTTAAAATGAAGAAGATAAATAGACAGATAAAAGAAGAAACATATGCACAAAAGTTAATCATCAAATGAAAAGACCTAGTAACACATTTTATTTATACTCAAAATAATTTTATTTTTTAATAATTAAGCCCAATAGTGGGATATTAATAGGTTACCAATTACCTATGCAGAAAGTAGTGAGATATTAGATGAACTCTTTTCCCACTTTTAAGTTTAAATTTTGAATTTAAATACTTTTCCACCTACCAATGCAAAAAGTAATAAGATATTAATACATATATTTGTTACTAAAGAATGTTGAACTCTTTTCCAACCCATAAAAAATGTATTTCCAAAGCTGCCAACAATTATTAATCCTCACAAATCACAATACCCCATGCAAAAAGTTGTGGATCATTAATATATGTGTCTTTCACTACATAATTTGAACTATTTTTCCCTCCATGATTTTGAAAATTCAAATTTTAAAACTTTTCAAAAGAAGAAACATTTCAAATTCTTTGAAGTGTGAACACAAATCTGAGAATGAAGGAGAGAGCACACGTCAGCAAAGTTGTCAAAGTTTGGATGAAGATTTTATATATTAAGATGATATTTATTTTAGATGCATAAATAGGGTATGATACTCTGACACAAAATCTCAATTATAGATTTATTTATTTCTTTAATTTTTTTATTTTTATTTTTGTAAAGTGAGCAGATGGAAATAAACACACATCGAATCAGCTAATTAAATTAGTTTATGTTAGAAACCAAATTAGTCTTTGCCACCTCATCATTTGCTCATCCTAGAACTATCTCATCAAATGTGGAAATTAATAATAATAGTCAAAGGCGGTAAAAAAATTTGTGGCTTGAAAAGTTACGTGGAGCAATTTTCTAAACGATGGTTAAAGAATGTCGAAGAACTTTTGTATAATTTAACACTTTGAAAAGTCACAGGCGGTGGTAGCTTCCCAAAGCAAACAAAGTCGGTGCTCAAGCTACATATATGTCCTGTTATGTGCTGAAATGTGTACTAGTTGTGTGTTAAAAAAAAAAGTGACGAAGCACAAGTTGAAAAGAAAAAGAACTGTGAGAGTGTGTGTGTGAACAAAAGTAGTAGTGTCTGAAGAGATTATTAGAGAGAAGAAAAAAAAAGAGTTTGAGAAAGAGTTATTTTGAGAGAAAAAATTAGTCATAGTGTTGTAATACTTGTGTTTTGTAAAAGTTTGATACTATTGTACGATTTATTTATTTTTATTCCATCTCCAACAAGTGGTATCAGAGCTTCGCTCGATCGTATCTCAACAAAAGATGGTGGAGATGATCAACCTCAAATTTCAAAATTGACAAAGACAAACTATGGTAACTCGAGCACTCACATGAAGACTCTTTTGGGTTCACAAGATGTCTGGTGTTGCGAAATCAGCAAGTATACCATTCGTTTCAAGTAATAAAAGTGATGAGTAAAGATCGTTCTCACGAGGATTAATGCACCAAATACTAATCTAACTATTCTCCTTAAGTTGGAAAAGAAAATTTGTTTGATTTGTGAAAGTAATTGAGTGTTGGATTTTTAAAAACAGAATTTTAAAAACAAGAATATTAAAAAGCATGCAAGAATTAATCAAGAATGGAAAGAAAATATGAATTTGATTGAAAATTGTAACAAGACTGTAGCCAGGATGCACTTCACCTCCGACCCTCCCTTATATTCCTATATTATATTTTATAATTAACTAATTGGTTTGCTCAGACAATTCATTATTTTTTTATAAAATAGTTGAACCCTAATGTCTTAGTGATTTCAACCCTTTAACTCAATTAAAATCCTAATGTCTTAGTAATCCCTCTTGAATTAAGCATTAAGCAAATGAATTAAAAGTCTGCAATCTATGTAAGCCTATGTCTAGGTCATGCACAAATTGTTATTCTACCCTTGTCTAGACTAAAACCCCAATATGTCTATTGTGAGTCCTAACCCTCAAAGCCTTATAATTAGAGTGGTCAATTCTAATCAGGATATGGAAAAATTAACACAGGTAGAATAAAACAAACAAACTAATTAAATTATAAAAACAATACAGAAAAATATAAAGGATTCACATCGGGTCTGTGATCCCAACTACAAAAAGAAATTAGCCAGACATATCTGGCTTAAACAAATTAAAATAGAAATTGTTCATGAACGAAAAAGAAAAGAAGAAAAAGAAGATGGAAGATCAATGGTCTTCGGTCTTCAACTCCGGTAGAATCCTGATCTCCAGCGTGAGTCACCAAGAACTCTCTCAATTCTCTGGTCTCACAATTCTCTCCAGCCAAAGATTCTTTCCTCTGGGGTCTTAGTCTCTTTTTATAGACTTTGTGCCCTTGTTTAGAAATCTTGATCATATCTTCAATAGAATCTTCACTAGAATCTCTAATTATATCTTTGATTCAATCCTTCAAATCTTCCCCTTTTTATTTAATGGAAAATTTTCCTTAAAAATATTCAACAAAGATTTGATAAGATCTTGAATGATTCAGAAATCCAAAGCAACTCTACTTGATATCTCCAATTTCTCTCTTTATTGAGATGAAACTACTGCAAAATATCAGAAATCTTATGAGAATATTATTGAGAATAAAATAACAATTTAATTCTAATTCTCATACTTTTAATTACTTTTAAATCAATTTCATGCTCATATTGACCCTTAATACATAGTAAATTGGAGACTTATCATCTGGGATCTTGTTGAAACTGGATACTCGGAGCCTATAGATGCAGTCGCTGAAGTAGCTATGACAGATGCGCAGAGAAGGACACTTAAAGAATCACGCAGGAAAGACAAGAAAGCTCTTTTCTATATTTTCCAAGGTGTTGATGATTCAACCTTTGAAAAAATATCAGATGTGAAGTCTTCCAAAGAAGCATGAGAGATTTTGCAGAGGTCTTGTCAAGGAGCTGACAAAGTCAAAAAGGTTCGACTTCAATCACTCAGAGCTGAGTTTGAAAACCTGAAGATGTAAAGTGGAGAGCCAATTACAGAATATGTCTCACGAGTTCAAAAAGTTGCCAAAGAGTTGAAAAGGAATGGAGAAACTTTGGATGAAGTCAGAATAATAGAGGTCTTAAGATCGTTAACAAGGAAGTTTGATTATATCGTCACCGCTATTGAATAAGCAAAAGATTTATCAACTATGACTATCGATGAACTTGTGGGTTCCCTTCAAGCTCACGAGCAAAGAATGAATCTAAATGAAGGCTCTAGCAATTTGGAGCAAGCTTTACAAAGCAAGTTATCATTTGATGAAAATCGCTAGCAGCTTTAGACGTGGCAGAGGAAATCATGGTGGATACAGAGGTAGCTACAGCTCTCGAGGCAGATTCAATGTTCGAGATAGTCGTGGTGGACGTGGACAATCAAATAGAGGACTTGATGATGATGCAGTAGCATATGGACGTGGTCAAGGTACTTACAATCGTGGACGAGGCCAAAGTAGAGGTTGAGGACGAGGATTCGTAATCAGAGGAGGAAGTAGATTTCAACAAAGAAGTGGCAAATCTCAGTTGCAATGTTATAATTGCAACAGGTTTGGCCATTTCAGTTATGAATGCCGAAAAGCCCCTAAAGTTGCGGAGAGAAGTCATTATACTGCAAATGAAGAGAAAACTGATGAACCGGCTATGCTGTCCACTTACAAAGGCGGGGAAGATAGTGGAAAAGATGTCTGGTACCTCGATACTGGAGCAAGTAATCATATGAGTGGAAACAAGGAGTTATTCACAGAGTTGAATGAGAACGTTCAAGGAGAAGTTACTTTTGGAGATTTATCAAAAGGTCCAGTCAAAGACAAAGGGAAGATTATGAATTTTACAAAGAATGGTGATAGAAAATACATTTATGATGTTTTTTATATCCCATCTTTAAAAAGCAATCTCCTCAGTCTTGGTCAGCTTTTGGAAAAAGGATACAATATACATTTGAAGAATAATTCTCTCATCATCAGAACTCAAAAAGGAGAATTTATTGTAAAAGTTAATATGACAAGAAATCGTCTATTCAAGCTGAGTATCCAGACATACGCAATAAAGTGTATGAAAACCATTACAAAAGATAGTTCGTGGTTGTGCATATTAGGTTCGGTCATCTTGATTCATTGGTCTGAAGCTGTTATCAAAAACAAAGATGGTGAATGGATTTCCATAAATAAGCCATCCAGATCAGTTATGTGAAAGCTGTATGAAAGAAAAGTATCATAGACAAAGTTTTGAAGTTGACAAGTTATGAAGATTTAGAAGACCATTGCAGCTAGTACACTCAGATATCAGTATGAAACTTCTTGAGATATGACGAAGTTTAGGAATGCAAGATCTTTGATGTTATAAACCTTAATGTTTCTCAAGAATATACTTTAATGACATTAAGATTTAGATTGAACTATAATAAATTATATATTATTCCATATACTTTTGTTTTTTTATACCAGATTTTATATTTTTAATTATTATTTAGACTTTGGTATATATATTGGTTTTTATATATTTTAATTATTTTCTCTAAAATGTATTCTCATTAAAGTATTGATCTTTATTTATTTATTTTTATGAAGATTTAGTCCTTATAATGTTAAAGTATTAAAGGTAGATTGCGGTAGTGAGTTTTGGACGAAAAGGGAAAGAAATATTTTCAAGTAGATCTGATCTAATTTCATATTTTTTTAGGATAAAACGAATAAATGATGAAATATCATGAAACTTTTGGATCTTCTCTTCTTCATTTTTATAAACACTATATAATTCTCTTAAATCAAAATATGAAAAATGTATCTTTTATTTTCTTTACCTCACTATTCAAACATGCCTTAAGATATTAGTTTTTGGAATCAAAATTTTAATAAATAAAACTATAAGAAATAAATTTTAAAATATAAACTATAAGACCAAAATCTAAAGGAGGTGAAATTATAGAGAGTAATCTAAGATTTATTTAACATATGAACAGTTTTTTGTGCACATTGTTGTGATGATATCTGAAATGGAGATCAATGCTTTTTAATTTTTACGTTATTTAACTTAATTAGTTGGATTGTCAAGGTAAAAAAAACTCATATAACAAACTCACCGTTTAAATAATGCTGAATGTTGAATTTAAGAAAACAGTTTCGGTTAAAACTAATTCAGTACTACCTCAAATTAAAATTCCCCAACTAAGTAACAAACTCTCTGTTCCAGAATTACATTCAAAATCTTGTTGGCACCACAAGGTTGCTGAGGTGGAACAATAACCACTCATGTCGACAGATTAGAATTTCAGTTACTAGAAAGATTCCAACACCTATAAAAATACATAGACATGGACACTATCTCCCACCAACCAAAAGAGCCCTTAAAACTCTACATCATCTTTTGACACAAAAGCCAAAAATGAATTCTTCAGCATTTTGTTCCCTGTTAACCCTTTGCTTGATCCTCATATCTCATTCTCCTTTGCAAGCAAATGCTAAAGGTCGGAGGCTGATTGGCAAAGTTTGTAAGGAAGCATTGGAGGACAGGGCCATGTGCATGACCATTCTGAGATCAGATCCTCGAATCCTACATTCAAAGAACTATGTTCAACTATCAAACATGGTCCTCCAGTTGGCATTGAACAAGGGCATTGAAGGCCAGAACTTTCTCAAACAATTGGCTCTCACAAACATATCTCCAGCCATTTCTCAATGTGCAAACTTTGACTATGATGGGGTTGTTGAATCATTCAAGAGTGCACTGGGTGAGTTGAAAGATGATCCTCAAACAGCAAACTATGATGCCAAAGTAGCTGGTGATGGACCTGACACATGTGAGAGAGGCTTGGCTGCAGCACATATAGTTAACCCTGCTATTTCTGCTCTTAACCGGGAAATATTGTTGCTTAGCAAGATTGCATTCCTAGCCACAAATAAACTTTAATTTCTTTAGCCTTTTGCATTGGAAATTGGAAAATGCATATGGTTATGTTGGGCAGGGTCAAGCCAAGGATGAGAAAATATTGTGGATGGAGAGGGGGATTTTAGGGTCTCCTTTCGTGTTTTTATTTCTTTATTTATTTTTTTAATCAAAAGCATCATATTTAAGCACATGTTAATTTATTCAATAATGAAGAATCTAAATTCATTAAAAGTACCAGTTGATACGTATTTTTTTTTTTTTTTTTAATATTTTAGGTCTTACATATTGCCGGTAACTGATATAGTAACTTATAATAGGTCAAGATTTTCATCGCTGTTATGTTTTTAGAACGGTCAGCAGGGGCAGGGCCCATAACCAGCTTCGTTGTTCTAAATGACGAAATAGTTCAGAAAAAGGAAAGTTGTTTCAAAGTAGTTACAAATCTCAATAAAGTTTAACATGGTAATCTATCAATAAAAGTTTATGAGTATGAATTAAACCCTTATTAAACCCTGAATAAAAGTTAAACCTTTTTACCGTATTCAATCTTATTAATTGATTCAACCCTCATTAGTCCGTTAAACCATGCAAGGTTCTATAATTACATGAAATGATATTTATTTTAGATGCATAAATAGGGTCCGATACTCCGACACAAAATCTCAATTATAGATTTATTTATTTCTTTAATTTTTTTATTTTTATTTTTGTAAGGTGAGCAGATGGAAATAAACACACATGGAATCAGCTAATTAAATTAGTTTATGTTAGAAACCAAATTAGTCTTTGCCACCTCATCATTTGCTCTCATCAAATGTTGGAATTAATAATAATAGTCAAAGGCGGTAAAAAATTTGTGGCTTGAAAAGTTACATGGAGTAATTTTCTAAATGATGGTTAAAGAATGTTGAAGAACTTTTGTATAATTTAACACTTTGAAAAGTCACAGGCGGTTCCCAAAGCAAACAAAGTCGGTGCTCAAGCTATATATATGTCCTGTTATGTGCTGAAATGTGTACTAGTTGTGTGTTAAAAAAAAGTGCCGAAGCACTAGTTGAAAAGAAAAAGAACTGTGAGAGTTTGTGTGTGAACAACAGTAGTAGTGTCTGAAAAGATTACTGGAGAGAAGAAAAAGGAGTTTGAGAAAGAGTTATTTTGAGAAAAAAATTAGTCATAGTGTTGCAACACTTGTGTTTTGTAAAAGTTTGATACTATTGTATGATCTATTTTTTTTATTCCATCTCCAACAAGTGGAATCCGAGCTTCGTTCGATCGTGTCTCAACAAAAGATGGCGGAGATGATTCAACCTCAAATTCCAAAATTGACAAAGACAAACTATGGTAACTAGAGCACTCACATGAAGACTCTTTTGGGTTCACAAGATGTCTGGGATCTTGTTGAAACTTGATACTCGGAGCCTATAGATGCAACCGCTAAAGTAGTTACGACAGATGCGCAGGAGAAGTACACTTAAAGAATCACGTAGGAAAGACAAGAAAGCTCTTTTCTATATTTTTCAAGGTGTTGATGATTCAACCTTTGAAAAAATATCAGATGTGAAGTCTTCCAAAGAAGCATAGGAGATTTTGTAGAAGTCTTGCCAAGGAGCTGACAAAGCCAAAAAGGTTCGACTTCAATCACTCAGAGCTGAGTTTGAAAATCTAAAGATACAAAGTGGAGAGCCAGTTACAGAATATGTCTCACGAGTTCAAAAAGTTGCCAAAGAGATTAAAAGGAATGGAGAAACTCTGAATGAAGTCAGAATAATGGAGAAGGTCTTAAGATTGTTAACAAGGAAGTTTGATTATATCGTCACCGCTATTGAAAAAGCAAAAGATTTATCAGCTATGACTATCGATGAACTTGTGGGTTCCCTTCAAGCTTATGAGCAAAGAATGAATCTAAATGAAGGCTCTAGCAATTTGGAGCAAGCTTTACAAAGAAAGTTATCATTTGATGAAAATTAAGCTAGCAGTAGTTTTAGACGTAACAGAGGAAATCGTGATGGATACAGAGGTAGCTACAGCTCTCGAGGTAGATTAAATGTTCGAGACAGTCGTGGTGGACGCGGTGGACGTGGACAATCAAATAGAGGACTTGATGATGATGTAGTAGCATATGGACGTGGTCAAGGTACTTACAATCGTGGACGAGGCCAAAGTAGAGGTTGAGGACGAGGATTCGTAACCAGAGGAGGAAGCATATTTCAACAAAGAAGTGACAAATCTCAGTTGCAATGTTATAATTGCAACAGGTTTGGCCATCTCAGTTATGAATGCAGAGAAGCCCCTAAAGTTGCGGAGAGAAGTCATTATACTGCAAATGAAGAGAAAACTGATGAACCGGCTATGCTGTTCACTTAAAAAGGCGAGGAAGATAGTGGAAAAGATGTATGGTACTCGATACTGGAGCAAGTAATCATATAAGTGAAAACAAGGAGTTATTCACAGAGTTGAATGAGAACATTTAAGGAGAAGTTACTTTTGGAGATTTATCAAAAGTTCCGGTCAAAGGCAAAGGGAAGATTATGATTTTTACAAAGAATGGTGATAGAAAATACATTTCTGATGTTTTTTATATCCCATCTTTAAAAAGCAATCTCCTCAGTCTTGGTCAGCTTTTGGAGAAAGGATACAATATACATTTGAAGAATAATTCTCTCATCATCAGAAATCAAAAAAGAAAATTGATTGCAAAAATTAATATGACAAGAAATCGTCTATTCAAGCTGCGTATCCAGACAGACGCAATAAAGTGTATGAAGTCCATTACAAAAGATAGTTCGTGGTTGTGGCATCTTAGGTTCGGTCATCTTGGATTCACTGGTCTGAAGTTGTTATCAAAAGCAAAGATGGTGAATGGATTGCCACAAATAAGCAATCCAGATCAGTTATGTGAAAGCTGTATGAAAGAAAAGCAGCATAGACAAAGTTTTGAAGTTGGCAAGTTATGAAGAGCTAGGAGACATTGCAGCTAGTACACTCAGATATTGCAATATCATTATGAAACTTGTTGAGATATCAAGAAGTTCAGGAATGCAAGATCTTTCTTTGATGTTATTAAGCTTAATGTTTCTCAAGAATCTACTTTAATGACATTAAGATTTAGATTGAACTATAATAAATTATATATTATTCCATATACTTTTGTTTTTTTATACCAGATTTTATATTTTTAATTTATTCTTAGACTTTGGTATATATGTTGGTTTTTATATAATTTAATTATTTTCTCTAAAAAAAATTCTCATTAAAGTATTGATCTTTTTTTTTTATGAAGAATTTGTTCTTATAATGTTAAATTA